ACACACACACACACACACACCAACCAATCCCAACGCCCACCCCCCAACCCCTACCAGGCCCAGACGAACCCGGGAAACGGCCCGCTGTGACCACGTACGCGGGCCCTAAATTTGCGTATGCGCGCATACGTGCATACGCGTATGCACATATGCGTAGCCCTCGTACGTGTACGCCGTGCTACCCAGGCATATACAAAGTATGTACACTGCTGGTAGTAGACCCAGTGAGTGATCATAGTACTGCTATCAAGGACCACAAGACCATAACTCAGCAGAGTTAGCGCCACTTACACTCCAGATATCTAGCCAATACCAACATTTGTAGGTCGAGGACCAACGCATGGGCTGACCGAGATATATTTGCCTGTGGCTTGCTTGCACCGAATCAGATTGAACAACCTCCCTTCTGACAAAACGGAGCTCGTATTTTGTCAGTGCCAACAAAAACCACTGCTTTCGTTGCTGATAGAGGGAAAATGGTGATGGCAACATCAACAACATACCCATGATGGCGATGGAGCTATTCTAGTAGGGTTGTAACCTATAGTTTGCACCGGTCTCGCCCTCCCTTTTGCAGGAAGAACCATCAACCAAACCAGCCRKGGTGTGTACGTGGCATTGCGCTTCCTCTCTTTACGTGTGTTTCAATGGCACTATAGGTGCTTTGCGTGGTCATGCACGAAGTACTGCCGCTTTGCTTCTGCTCTTCCAYTGCATGCGGACACCTGGCSCGAATGATGTTGTAATGACCTTCATCCATACGCGGAGCAAAAGCACGTCCGTGAAGGCCACATGTGAGAACAACATGGCCAAGATACAACGTTTTCTCCAGAGGGCCCACATGACAGCTCTCCTTCCYMGCTTGAACATGTTGTTTTCGAAAGTATTGTCAATGGGGGAGGACCATGTTTCACACAATATGGCTCTCCAGTCCCATGGCCAGTTGGAACCTGTGGCTAATTGTGTCCAAATTCTATCCCACCACCGCCATGTGAGCACAGTCCTGGACACTGCATGAATATGTGCTTTATGGTTTACGGTATTCTGCGGGAGGGGAAGGCGGTGTGGCACGACTTACACCATGGTAGCGCCCGTCCCTTCTGCTCCAGATATGTGCGGTCGATCAGCCAGTCGTTGGTGGGTAGGCAGCGGTGTTCTATCTGCCATTGTAGCGAGGCCATCTTCGCCGGCCTGGACTTTGTGGCGGAGAACCATCGGATGGGACGGATTGCTTCAGTTCCTATATTTAGGTGAAACCTCCACCGGTCCTTCACCTTTTCTTTTATATTCACTTTTGGTCGCAGCAGCCGGTAGGTGGTTTTCACCGTCAAGGTGTACAGCTTCATGTTGTCCCCTTTGTTGCGCTTCCGCTGGGGGGACCACTGCCATTCCTCGGGATCAATTGGGAGCTCAGTCACGGATGTGTTTGGCTGGTATGCGATCCATGCCTCTTTCTCTTGTATCACACGGATCCTGTGTAGGTCAGAGTTCCTCCACCATCTCATCACTTCCGGGGTGTACCGGGTGAGCGCGTTGTTCCTGCCAATGTGGAAGAGAGCGGTCAAGGATTCGTTTGCACGCACCTCTACCACGTTGCCTACGCTCTTCGGGTCGCCCGGGACTGCTACCCAATCCCCTTCTGCCAACCACGGTCCTCTGCGCAGGATACGGACCCAGTCTAGGGGAATGGCAAAGATCAAGGTTTCAATGTGTTCTTCCACTTTGTAACAATACTTGAGTGTGGCCCTGAGTTGATGTGCAGTCTTCCAGTCTCCCACTTGTGTGTCCCATATATCTTTTATTATGGTTATACCTTTTTTTACCCAGTTGTTCCATGGGGTGCCTGAACTGCAGTACACTCTACTGTTCCGGTCTATTATCCACCTATTCCCGAAAAGGGGTTGGCGCACCACCTCTTCCCATCTGGTTGGTGGGGGTTTATCGGGCAGCGGGAGTTGTCGCCAGGCGTGCAGAACTCGGGTCCAAAAGTCATCCCTGGCCAGATCCGGACGGGATCATGGTATTGTGCAGTAAAGGTCCTCCAACCAGGTTAGTGGATTGACTCCCGGCTGTGCCTAGGGGGCAAGCCTAGCTATTTGTTCGAAAGCAAGGGCATGCCATGGGAGGCGTTGGGTGAATAACAGTCTCCGGATCCATTGAATTGTTAGTGCCTTGAGCTGAGTATCTGGGTCCAAGATCCCTAGGCCTCCTTTGTCTTTAGGTTGAATCACCGAGCTCCAGGCTACCCTGTTAATAACGTTTGGAAGTTCTTCGTTTCCTCTCCATAGCAGGGCTGTTACCTGTCGCTTTAGTGACCGAATGGCCTCCTTGCTGAGGGCCCAGATTGCAGATTTGTACCAGAGGGCCGCCAATACCATGCTATTGATTGCCAATGCCCTGCCAATAAGAGAGGTATGCCGGTCTTTCTAGTATGCCAGTTTCTCTAGAGCGGGCTTCAGGATCCATTCGTCGTTCGATGCGGGCCTGCCTGGTGCCGTTAACATGATTCCTAGTGCCCTGACCGAGGTTGTGTCTGGCAGCCACTTGACCCGCGGAAGCTCGGGGGGGCGGACCCCTTGGTGGTGAATCCACCAGCCGAGGGTCTTGTTCCCCCAGTTGACCGTCATGTCTGAAACTGTTGTAAATCGATCGAACAATCGCCTGATCTCTTCCATGTTTGCTGCAATTGCGTCGACCATGAGTGTCAAATCGTCTGCGAACATCGAGTAGATCGGGATTGCTTCTTCTGGGATGGAAGAGATCTGCAGTTTCCTTAGGTCTTTGTTAGCTCGGAGATTTGCTGCCAGTGCCTCCATCACCATTATGAACAGGAAGGGTGCCAGAGGGTCCCCCTGACGGACCGACCGCTGCAGTGGGGAGGGTGGTGCTATCCTTCCATTGACTTGAACGCACGTGGTTGTGGTATGGTGTTGCACCGCAGTCCAACGCCGAAAAATTGGCCGTATGTTCATTTTTTCCATTCATTTGTCCAGGAATAGCCAGTCCACATGGTCGTAAGCTTTTTCAAAATCTATGAAGACCACAACAACGTTCTGTTGGTCCTGTCTTGTCAGCTTGAGTAGTTCATTAACTAATAGTATGTTGTCCTGGATCCTGCGGCCTTTGATGAACCCGGTTTGCATTGGATGGATAATATATTCCAGGACGGGGAGCAGCCGGTTCGCAAGGGCCTTTGCTAGCATTTTATAGACAACTATGAGCAAGGTTATTGGCCTGTAGTTTCGGATGTCCATCTTATCTCCCTTTTTGTGTAACAAGGTGAGAATACCCTGGCCCACCAACTCCACCATTGTCTTTGTTTCCCACATCTGTTGATAAAACTCCATGAGATCCGGGGCCATCTGCATCCAGAAGGTTTCCCAGAATTCCTTTGGGAACCCATCGATGCCCAACGTCTTCTCTTCTTCCATCTGCATCATCGCCGTCCATATCTCCTCTTTGTACAGGGGTCGGTCCAGGTCTATTTTCTGCTGGCCTGTCAGGGTCTTCTCTAGTGGAGTCAAGAAATCCGCAATATCTTTTTCCCTAACATTTCTCTCCTGCCGGACGCACCTTGAGGTGAACAGGACTTGGAAAAATGATCGTGCTATTTGTGCGCAGTGGGGGGTGGAGGTGACGATATCTTGATGTCCGGTTTGTGGATCAAAAAGTGCCTTGATGGTAGTTATGTGTTAGCGCACTCTGGCCATGATAAGAAAATTCCTATCCGTTGTTCCTTTTGTTTGGTACCTTGTCAGTCGTCCTCTTATTCGTATTCCTTCCCAGCGTTGCGTGGCAAAAACCTGAAGTCGATTTCTGAGCGTTTGAATCTCTGGGCATTCTTCTGTTTGCAAATTTTGGCTGCCGTTCGACTGGTCCTGGTGCTCGAGTTGTTGCAGCTGCTGGTGTAATTCCATTTCCTGTTGATGTTTCTTGGCTACCAATAATTTAGAGTATTCTTGACATTTTTTACCCAGATAGAATAGCCCGTTGTTGAACCAGTCTATTGCCTGTTGGAAGTGATGTTGTTGCATGTGCCAGTATTTCCAGTAGTCTGCAATGTAGCTATGAAAGGTTTTTTGTTTCAAAATGCAAGTGTTGAGCTTGTAGAAGCCCGGACCCCAGTCCGGTTTCTTTCGAAAGGATAGAGTAACCGTGCACATTTTGTGGTCAAGGCCCAGGTATGGACTTCCAGGCAAGATCGTTGCTAAAAGCAGCGATCCCCCCATGTCTTCCGAGATGAGGATTAAGTCAATCCTGGATTTTGACTGACCTTCAGTACCAGTCTTCCGTAGACGTGAGTAGAATCTTGTGTCTGGGTTCAGTTTCCGGAAGGAGTCGAAGATTTTCAGGGAGAGGCATAAGTCGTTTATCATCCGCTCATCCTCCTCCACATACACCGGGGCCGGGGAGGGGGTCCGCCATCTATCCATACATCGGTCCGGGGCTGCATTGTAGTCCCCTGCTATAATGACCGGGACCCCTTCCGGTATCTGTGCTTTAATATTCTCAAAGAAGATTCTTCTCTCCCTTACCGTGTTGGGGGTGTAGATACACACTATACATACGATTTCGATTTCCATTGTGACCAGGATGGACACCGACCTGCCTTTCTCCTGGTCCATCACCCAACGGACCAGGTCCACCCTGGACTCCGGGGGGATCCAGATGGCCACCCCTGCACTTCCGGGTTTCGGGGCATGGGCCCTGAAGGCTTGGTATGGCCAAATCATCTTGTGGGTGCGGTTGTGCTCTGGGGTGTCCATCAGGTGGGTTTCCTGAACACAAACGATATCTGGCCAGTTTCTCCCCCTTACTCCTTTCATCAAGTCCCAGATTGCATTTTGTTTTTCTGGTTTACATGAGGCCAGGCCGTTCACATTCAACGAGCGCAGGTCCAGGTCTGCCGCTCTCCTGCATTGATTCCAGATGCGGTTCTTTCCCATGCACTGCCCTAACCGGGTCTATCGTGTTAGCATTATTCATTATACCCTTCACAGGACGGAGGCCAGGTGCATTCGTGGATTGGCTTGGCTGCACGGATGAGCTTCTCTCTCCGGATAGACTGGATGGGCGGCGCACCGTGCTCAGGTAAGTCTTCAACCCCGCGGTTCGCCTCCCGCTACCTCCACAAACCTGAATGAGCAAAATTGAATGAATCCTCCGCTAAAACACGGAAAGATACATTACCTTTTCAAAGCTCTTCTCTCCGGGCGCAGTTCGATTCTCCCTAGCTTAAAAACCACAACTCTTTTCCTAAATCTGTCTTTACTATCCAACTCGCAACATCCTAAACCCTCAGTCCCAACCTTTTCCCCACCTAAATCTATCGAAGATCAACTAAAGCCTTCATCTCCTATCTTCGCCATCTCCTTCTCCCGTTACCTTCGCGCGGTCTATTTCTCTCCTACTGCCCCTCCTAGTCATCTACACGCCAAACTAACCCCACTAATTGATTCGTAAGGTTCGAAAACCCCCACTTAGAATCCTACCTCGCCCGATTCTATAAGGAATGGAGGGAGATATCAAATTTTCTCCTCCTATCATATCTACTTTCCCGCCATCGTGTTTCTTACTAACCTCCATTTCTACTGACCTTTCCCCTAATCTGACTCACCATCGGGTTCGCCCCGGCTGAAAACCCCCGAATCGACTATTTCCCCGCCCGATTTCATCAAGAATCGGACGGGCTTCACAATCTTCTATCCTCTATCTCCCGTCTCCCTCATCGCTCCGATTACGAGTGGATCTGGCGCAAAAACGCGCCCTGGTGCATTCCCCCTTCACTGCGCCCTTACCTTGCTTCTTCCGTTCGCTCCTCATCACCTCACCTCGACGGGTTGGGCGGCACTTCAGTCCGCAGGTAAGTCCCTCTCTTCGTTGCCCGTCGTTCCGCTATCCCTGCTTCACTACTTCCGCTCAATGCCCCACAGCGCCCGCTTGCACTCGGTGCAGCCCGATGCACGTCTCCCATCTGTAGCACACGGTCTCACTGTCACGTACTAACGTTGCCAAGCAGCTCGAGCTACCTTGGACTGCCTCGAGGGGAAAATAGTTGCCTGCCGGCTGGGTTAATCTTCCGCCCCTATGCCCAAGCCCGACGACCGATTGCACACCCGTATCGAAGCGCCGCAGCCTCCTCTCGCCCGTTTCTGCCCAAGGGAATCTGCCACCACTTCAAGCCTTCAACAGGCGGCTCCCGCACAGACAGCCTGTCGCAGAGCCGAGGGTACGAACCTGCTGCAAAGCCTAGGCCTAGGCCTAGTGCCGATCCCGGCGGTAGTATTAAATAGTCAAATGAGGGCCTTGAAGGTCAAGGTGATGAAAAGTCATGTGTGGCCGGCCCCCACATCCTCCCTTGATGTCCGACCACATAGGCGACTTCATTGTCCTGCGGGACCTGGCGGGTATGTTCCCGCTGAAGCCCTTTTACAGTAAGGGCGGGTGGCGGACCGTGCGCCCGAGGCGTCCCCTACTATCCTCGGGCTGCAGCCCATTGACCCTTGCTCGGGATGTTCACCGACTCTCTTCCACTTTAGGCTATCGACGCTCTTTAGGTGAGAAGCGAGGGAAAGCCACGACCGCGACTCTCACTACTCTTCATGCATTGGCCTCTTCAGTCCGCCTTTCAAGACAAGCGGGGTAGGGAAATTCCGCCCATCCCCCGACACGTACGAACTCACAGGTCAACCAAAGGAGGCGCCCGCTCAAGATCCTCGAGTGCTGCGACGACCTCGGAATCCAGCGCCGCGTCTAAGTCAAGGAACGCCGGAGCATAATAATAATAATAATACGACGTTGAATAATAAATTATTTAGAAAATTCCAAGCGTCAGAATATGATGAACGAAAAAAAGAAAACGTTAGCACCGTCCTAACGCTGCCAACGGCAAAACCAAGGGGGATAGCCCGCCGGGCCCTCAACCCCCGCGGTTCCGTCGCGCCGCCCCCATGCTCTCGCGCCGTCACTCGCTGACCTCGTTTCCTAGATCTCTTAGATGAAAGTCTGGCGCCGTATCCTGCTAGCACTAGGCCCAAGGCTGGGTCTAGTTCTGTCGGACGCTCAAATAAACAAACACTGCGAGACGCACGAACCTACTAGGATGTATTGAAATTCCATGCTGTCGTCGATGCCCTCCTCTGCACGTACGCACAAGTCACAGGCAGTCACACCAATCGACGAGACATAATCTTTTTAATCCCTGTTTAATCAGAAAAGAAAAAATCTGGTCGGCGATCCCGTCGACTCTTCAATCGTTAACAATTAAAAAAAAATCACGCACGCCACAAATCTGCGCACCCACACACCCTCTAATCTAGTCAACCATTCAGCCGCATAAACAACGGATTCCGCCGCGACTCGCGCGGTATACTCAATCTTTAAATCACTTATTTTCTGTCGCTTGCAAAAACCAGGGCGGATACCCTTGTAAGGGTATTCGCACCGACAACGTGAGGTGGTAATGGGATCAGATTCATAAATTTTGAAAAGCGGTCAACGATTACCATTACTTGCGAATATCCATTCTTACTCTTATTCCCCATGTCCGTGAAGTCGATGGAAAGAGACTCACCCTGGCCATCAGGAATAGGAAGAGGATGCAGCAGCCCATATGGCTTCTACCGAGATGGTTTGATACGTTGACAAACTTCACACTCGCCACAAACGTTCATGCCATTCCTTTCATTCCAGGCCATACAAACTTTTGCAGCAGACTTCCGTATGTTTTTTCGAAGCAGAAGTGTCCACTCCGACCATGAGCCAAGTCCAAAAAGTGAGTAAGGATCGACTCATGATTAGGTACACACAGTCGGTCGTGCTTCCCGTAACGTGGGAAAAGTAAGCCCTTACACTCATGGAAATCAGGCTGACTGTTCGGGTCAACCTGAATCTGCTCAAGGATAGGACTGAGTTCCGGGTCCTTGGCAGTATGCGAAATGAGTTCCTCCTTCAAATTCTTACGGAGATCATAGAAACCCACAAGACAAGTCATGTACTCAGGGTGGCGAGACAAAGCATCCGCAACGTGATTGTAACAACCTTTCTTGTGCCGAAGTTCGAAATCATACACAACAATCTCATGCAGCCAGCGGGTCAGTGAAGTTGAGGGATTGGTCTGTGTCAGAATCCATTTCAAGGTCTCGTGGTCTGAGAACACTTTGAAATGGCGACCCAAGAGATAGTGCTTCCATTGATCTAGCGCTTCTCTCAAGGCATAGAGCTCTCGCATGTAAGTGGAGGCAGCTACCTTGTGACTGGGCATACGTTTGCTGTAGAATTCGAGCGGACGTAAGCCGTCGCCATCATCTTGCTGCAACACTGCACCAATCCCATACACACTGGCATCCGTAGTTACTACGAATGTAAGTGTGGGATCTGCAATGCGGAGCACCGGATGACTCTCCAAAGCCTCCTTCAATGCTTGGAAGGTTGTTGTGCATTCCTCATTCCATGTGTAGGATATATTTTTGCTTGTCAATCTGGACAACGGTAGGGCAATGATAGAGAAGTTGGGGACAAACTTACGGTAGTATGATGCAAGACCAAGAAAAGAACGCAACTCGTGGACATTCGCCGGTTGAGGCCATTTGCGGATGACCTCAACTTTGGTTGCCTCGGGCTCTAGGCCCGCTGAAGACAACTGATGTCAAGGTAGATGACGTTGTCCCTCCCAAACTCAGGTTTCTCCAAGTTGAGATGGAGCAGCGCATCCTTGAGGATCTGCAACACCTCCTCAAGATGTCTCATGTGCTCCTCCATCGACTTGTTGAAGATTAGTATGTCATCCAAATACACAACAACAAATCGGTTGATCTGATTGCAGAACACCTTGTCCATGAGACTTTGAAAGGTGGCTGGTGCATTCATGAGGCCGAAGGGCATGACGGTAAACTCGTACAACCCATCGTGAGTTTTGAATGCAGTTTTGTGCTGGTCTGCAGGGTCGACTGCAATCTTGCTGAAGACCTTGCACCCACTTGCAGCATCAAGCAGATCATCAATACGTGGCAAAGGATATGCATTCTCTCTTGTTATTCTATTTAGTCCGCGTTAATCGATACACATCCGTAGTTTGCCTCCTTTCTTTGGGACAAGCAGAACCGGTGCACCAAATTCGGATTCGCTTGGCTTGATCCATCCTTTCCCAATCATGTCATCGATCTGTTTTTGTAACTCCTCCAATTCGCCTGAGCCCATTCGATAGACACAACCTTTTGGAGGAGTCCTACCTTCTATCAACTCGATCTTGTGTTGGATCGGACGCACGGGAACTCCATGCGGTCCGGCCAAGACTTAAGGAAATCGGTTGAGAAGGTTGCGGATTTCTGATGGGACTTCCGGAGGTGGATCATCACTTTCAGATGCACGCATACCGGATTGCATAGCTGCAACCAAAACAACAGAATTGGAAGCAGAGTCGTTTGGACTAGAAGTAGATTTAGTAGAGGTAGAAGTTGTTGCATTAGAGGTAGAAACGTCATGCAAAGTAGAATCATTATATACAACAAAAATAAAAGGCACATGAGCAGGCCTAACAAAGGGCCAAAGGCTATATAAATTTGCTCATCAACTTTGTGGCTGTGCCACTTTTTGCAGAATTGCGTTGCATTGAGAAAAGTTACTTGGGACTCGTGCGGCTCATCCAAAAGGACTGGACGCTCGATTCCCATGGCATCTTTGACCATGAACTGTGACTCCTTCCACGTGGTTCTTTCACATTGGGCCTGCAACCAGCCCAAGTCAATATTGGCGTCGAAGGGGCACTGATCAAGGACATAGAAGTTCAATTCATGAGTGATTGTGCGGTCTGCGTCAAAGGTAGTGCGCACACCTTTGACTGTATGCGTAGATGTGACAACCTCTTGGTTGCCCACTTGGGTCCGACAAGGATTCTGTAAAGTCACTTGCTTTATTCCCAAGCGTGCCTTACGAATGCCGTGCGGTGAGAAGTAGTTGGTGGTTGCGCCACAGTCAACCAACGCACGGATGTAACGACCATTAATGCGGAGTTTGAAGAAGATCAACGTCGTTTTCCCTTGCGTGTGTTCTTGCTTCATGTGAGCCCAGCGCGGCAAGAGAGAATGAAAGTC